CTTCCTATATGATTCTATATAGGGCAGACAACGGCTACATGTCATTATGGACGGTGACGGTTTTTCTTTTTAGACCCGATCTATGCTCGTATAGCCGTCGGTTTTTGACAGCTCTGATTGGCCGCGAGTCCATTGTCAGAAACAAGGCCGGTATTGCCTGCCGATTTCGACACCACCCATCCCCAGCCGCTGTCCAATCAGCATCCGTCACTCGGCCCAATCATGTCCGAACTGCCAACTTTTAAGCCACTGCAGGGAGGAGACTGGCATCATGTCCTGATGAAGGGGGGCGTGCCCCGGAAACGCGTCGACACATCAGTGCCCCACACAGGACACGCTATCCGGATTCTCTTACTGCTCCGGTCATACTGTTCTACGGCTTGTTTCAATCTTCAACATTGTGAGTACCTGTCAGTTCACTTCTATGCCTGTCTTTTTGGAATAAACGATACTGCACTAGGAAAGGCGCCCCTTCGTGTTTTTTTACCGCACATCTCCATCAGTAGAGAGGAGACGTCCATCACCTAAGGACACTGCCAAAAAAAATTAGGATTTCCTGAAGGGGGAGGGGTTATATGAGGGTCCTCACAAAGTCCAATCAACTGATAATATCTGCATAGAGAGGGCCCTTCTGTGTAAAACTTTTCCCGCACTCGGGTCAGGAATATGGCTTCTCGCCCATGTGTACTCTCTTATGTGTGTTAACAGAGGTCCTTTGATTAAAAGATTCTCCACAATCAGAGCAGGATTCTCTCACGTGTGTGATCTCTGATGTCTGGTAAGATTGCACTTAAGTGAAAAACTTCTCCCGCACTCGGGGCAGGAATATGGCTTTTCCCCCGTGTGCAATCTCTGATGTTTGGTAAGATGGCACTTAAGTGAAAAACATACCCCGCTCTCGGAGCAGGAATATGGCTTCTCCCCCGTGTGTGATCTCTGATGTTTGGTAAGATGGCACTTAAGTGAAAAACATACCCCGCTCTCGGAGCAGGAATATGGCTTCTCCCCCGTGTGTGATCTCTGATGTTTGGTAAGATGGCACTTAAGTGAAAAACATACCCCGCTCTCGGAGCAGGAATATGGCTTCTCCCCCGTGTGTGATCTCTGATGTTTGGTAAGATTGCACTTAAGTGAAAAACATACCCCGCACTCGGAGCAGGAATATGGCTTCTCCCCCGTGTGTGATCTCTGATGTTTGGTAAGATGGCACTTAAGTGAAAAACATCTCCTGCACTCGGAGCAGGAATATGGCTTCTCCCCCGTGTGCAATCTCTGATGACCGAAAAGAGAACCCTTCTGTGAAAAACATTTCCCACACTCAGGGCAGGAATATGGCTTCTCACCTGTGTGTGCTCTCTGATGCTCGATAAGATAACACTTTCGTGCAAAACTTCTCTGGCACTCGGAGCAGGAATGTGGCTTCTCCCCCGTATGCAATCTCTGATGTTTGGTAAGATTGCACTTAAGTGAAAAACATCTCCCGCACTCGGAGCAGGAATATGGCTTCTCCCCTGTGTGTGATCTCTGATGAATGGAAAGAGAGCTCTTCTGTGAAAAATGTTTCCCGCACTCAGGGCAGGAATATGGCTTCTCACCTGTGTGTACTTTCTGATGCTCGATAAGATAACACTTCTGTGAAAAACATTTCCCACACTTGGAGCAGGAATATGGCTTCTCTGCAATGTGTAATTGCTGATGTTGGATAAGATAACTCTTTTGTGCAAAACATTTCCCACACTCAGGGCAGGAATACGGTTTCTCCCCCGTGTGAGATCTGTAATGTGCGACAAGGTCTGATTGATAAAGAAAACATTTCCCACACTCATAACAGTACAGAAACTTCTCACCCATGTGAGAACTCAGATGGACACAAAAAGTTAAATCAGAGCTAAAACTTTCCCCGCACTCAGGACAGGAAAATGTCTTCTCCTCCTGAATTCCGGCACCATTCCCCACAAGACGAGGTTGCTCAGAGTCAGAGGGATTCCATGCTCTAGCCACACTGTGAAGTCCACCATCCATAGCTGAGCTCATTGTCTCTTCTCCCGCACAATCTGCTGTGATGTCCTCATCTTCCATCTTACAACCTGGAGATAAAGTCAGAGGATCCTTTGAGGGTTTCTCCATGGCGTGTCCTGGAAACATAGAAACGTATGATGGAGAGATATGAGAGGGTTAGATGACTTCACTCAACATTCCATCTGGATCAGGAGGTCTGAGGGAGCAGATGTTCTCTGTGGAGGTCCCAACCAGCTGGGACTCCTCCCCTCCTCAGTCAAAGGGCCTTTTGTCCTCCTCCCAGATCACTTCTACATTTACACAGCCCTGTCAGAAGAGGAGGAGCCAATGGGGACTGGGAGGAGCACGCTCTTCACCCAACCAGAAGCCTAGGCACTGGGTCATGTGATGTCTGATGAACAGAAGGATCAAAGTTCAGACCAATAGAGTTCATCATCAATATCACTGACACACACAATGATACCGTCACCATCCAGACACATCCCTTGTCTGTTCCTGGATCATGTCCCAGAATTCCCGGCACCGCTCACCTCTCCTGTCAGCAGCTCAGTGATCTTCTTGGTGACTTCTGGAATCTTCTCCATGTTGGGTCTCTCAGGTATTAGGGAGTCACATGGGGGCACTGTGATAGTCACATGATCACCTGACTTCAGAAGAGGAAAACTCTGCATTGAAAACCAATAGGAATATCATGTTAGAGTCCCAGAATCCTCCTCACCTCTCCGGTCAGCTCTGTGTTGTATCGGTAGGGAAAAGAGTGACGTCATGTGACTAGTGATGGTGGAACTTACTACTGAAGTCTATAGGAGGTGAATCTTGGAAATAATTTCTCTCCATTTTAAGGCTCATGGACAAGGGATTGTCATACAAGGGAGCTGGGCTCTGCTCTGGGGACATGTACCAATAACAAAAATTACAAAAATACCGTTCATTGGGGGGATGACCTCCATTTTATACAATTTCAGGAGCGACATGTATGCCCGTTTTGTAGGCCAGATTTGAAGAGGGAGAGATGAGGCATTTTTTTATTCAGAAAGAAAAATTTCCTTGGATGATGTCAGAGACACAAAGCAGAAATATTGTACAGGAAGCAATGAATCAGTGGTAGGAGATGATAAAGGAGGGCGGGTCAGCAGTGGTGGCAGGAGATGGTAATGGATGGCGGGCCAGCAGTGGTGGCAGGAGATGGTAATGGATGGCAGGCCAGCAGTGGTGGCAGGAGATGATAAAGGAGGGCAGGTCAACAGTGCTGGATAGAGATGGCAATTGATGGCAGCAGTAGTAGAAGATAGTAATGGATGACAGGTCAGAAGAATCAGGAGATGTGATTGGAGGCAGGCCAGCCGTGGTGGCAGGAGATGATAATGGATGGCGGGTCAGCAGTGGTGGCAGGAGATGGTAATGGATGGCGGGCCAGCATTGGTGGCAGGAGATGGTAATGGATGGCGGGCCAGCAGTGGTGGCAGGAGATGGTAATGGAAGTGGTTAAGTCTGATTATGATATCTCAATAGATGAATTGTAATATAAATGTTATTTTGCTTTTCGCTCTCCTTTGCTCTTGTTTACCTTGCTCAAAACCTTACTCAGAAATTGGTGCTCAAGCACCCCCTCCCCCTCCTATCCGAAGTACGCACTAGAAATAGGAACCAAGATGGCGCCTCCTCTTCAGGACGACACCCGAGACGAAAGATATAAACATCCTGGCAGGAAGTTATGCATGAATGGATCTAACCAACGATAAGCTAGAATATATCATCTAAAATGCTTTCCTGCAATATACGCGTTCAGCTGCCTAAATACAACCATGTAAAAGCAGAAGAATAAAAACAGAAATACCTTACCCTGAACGTGTCTCGGTGTCATCCTTCTATCTCTCCGAGTGTGCACTCTCTATATATAATCAGGCCAGGCGGCAGATATAAGTACGGAGCCTTTTGATCCGATCTAAATTTGTGAGCAGGTCCAAAACAGTTGGCACCCCAGATGGGACCTCGGGTTCCGTACCGAAGGACAGCCGATCGAGAGGAGACGGAGACGAGCCGACACACACGGACGGAGACTGATCACCTCTGAGATACGGTAAGACATATTCCTTGCCAGTATATCCTGTCTCCGTGTATTTGGCTCTGTCTCTGCGTTCATATCGGCTTCCCGAGGTCAGCAAAGACAGGTAACTTGCCCGAGGTCCGATAAAGAACCTTGTGTAATCTGTATCTGCCACCTGTATACGTTGTATGTTGTATGTGTATTGACCTGCGAGATGCCAGGCTGTCACAGATGGTATAATGTGCTGACGTGGACAAACTCCCCCTGACTGAAATAAGTGTGCAGTGAAGCACGGGTAGACAGGGGGGGCGTCAGAGGTCGCGCTTGCGGGGGTTCTGTGCAACAACGGTCCTGGGTCTCACCTGTGGGGCGCCCCTTTGAGTTAGAGGTGTAATATCTGTATGTCTGTGATTAATGTAATCATTCAGGGTATATAGAGAAGTGAG